CAGGGCCAGGCCCCCGTGACTGTCCTCAGGGCAGCACCTCTGGACCCTCCGTAGAGGTCTGGGCCCGGGTCTGGGTCCAGGAGGCCCTGCCTCCAACCCAGAGAAACAACACTCACCCAGCAGGGCCCCCTCCTCACACCTCCAAAGGGCTGTCTCTATGCTTCCTTCTCCCCCACCCCCTTCTTTTTACTTTTCTTCCTTTGTCTTGTTTTCCTTCCCCTAGCCTCTTCCCTAGGGTCCCTCAGCCCCAGAGGGCTAGCTGCATCCTGTGATTGCCACCTCCAAGGAGCTCAGGGTCCAGGCTTTCGGTTTGGCCAGACAGCTAAGGAATGAGAGAAACTCATTGGGAGCTTGGTGACAAGGAGGCCTGGGGAAGAGGCAGAGGATGGTGTCCTAGAAAGGACCCCAATGGAAAGACATGTGCATCCCAGTGGATGTCGCCAAGGCCCATCCCCTTCAGCGGAGGCTCTCAATAATCAGATGGACACAGGACCCGTCCTGTAAAGATTTGGAGACTCTTCTGCCAACCTTTGCACAGCCGGCTCGATGGCCCGTGTGTACAGTGATCACGGTGGGAGGGATGGAGGCACGCCTACTGCCACAGCCGGGGGCTCGCCTGTCGACAGCCAAGGCCAGCCCTGGCCCCTCGACATGGTGCCATCACATGGGGGCTGGGCAACCAAGCGGTGGCACGCTTACTCTAGTGGATCGCCTGTCCTGGAAGGGACAGAAGTTCCATCTGTCCCGCTGGAATAGATACGGACTCTGGATGGGGATTGGCTTTCCCTGTCCTTCCCTCTTCTGGCGGCACAACTCTGTGGAGTTCGGGAGCGCCTTGCTGACCATCACGGGGTCCTGCACAACAGCACTTCTGAACAAGAAGCTCATTCCTGAACCAAAGAAGCCAAGTAACAGGCTTGTGCTCATGAATGTCACTGGCCTCACATGTACCCTATCACCCAGAAGGGCCCACCCCATGGCGTGGGGTGGAGTGGAGCGGCCCACCCAGGAGGACACAGTTATGACACCGCTTGGGAGCAATACCCTCGAAATCTGAGGTCCTCGCTTACAGATTCAAGTGTGTGCTTTGAACCAGAGACAGACACAGCCCCACTGCTGGTGTCCAGGACCAAAGAGTACAGGGGCACTGGCTCCTCTGACCTCTAATAATGCCTCGCAGCACCTTTTTTTTTTTAAGACTTTATTTATTTACTTATGAGAGACAGACACACACACACACACACACACACACACACACACAGGCAGAGGGAGAAGCAGGCCCCATGCAGGGAACCCGATGTGGGACTTGATCCCCGGACTCCAGGATCACACCCTGGGCTGAAGGCAGGTGCTAAACCACTGAGCCACCCAAGGATCAACCCCCCCCCCTTTTTTTTTAAGATTTTACTTATTTGAGAGGGAGAGTGGAGAAAGGGAGGAGTAGAGGAAGAAGGATAAGCGCACTCCATGCTGAGCACAGAGCCTACCATGGGGCTCGATCCCAGGACTCCAATCATGACCTGAGCCAAAATCAAGAGTTGGAGGTTTAACTGAGCCCCCCAGGTGCCCCTTCACAGCACTCTTAATCCCACCCCTCACCTCTGAGCTCTGACAGCTTTGAAGTCTTGTTTTTTTTTTAAAGATTTTATTTATTTATTCATGGACACACACAGAGAGAGAGAGAGAGAGAGAGAGAGAGGCAGAGAGAGAAGCAGGCTCCACGCAGAGAGCCTGATGTGGGACTTGATCCAGGGTCTCCAGGATCACGCTGTGGGCTGCAGGCGGCGCTAAACCGCTGTGCCATCAGGGCTGCCCCAGCTTTGAAGTCTTGTTCCCGGAGGGACAAATGGTCCACCAGGGACTCTACACTGGCTCCTTTGATTGAGAAGATGAGACTCCCACCAGGATATTTGGGGTTCCTCATACCACCACATCAAAACACTAAGTGGTAGGTAGGTTTTGCTGTTTTTTTTTTTTATTAAAAAATATTTTTTTAATTTTTAAGTCATTTCTCCACCCAACATGAGACTCAGACTTACGACCCAGAGACGAAGAGTCACTTACTCTTCCGACTGAGCCAGCCAGGCGGCCCCACACTAGGAAGTGGGTTACCCCCCTGGCTGGGGGGATAGATCCCTCATACCGAGGAGAAGATGAGTCATCAATTCACACAGAGAGCAAGTAAAGCTCTCGAACCTGGGGGATGGTCTGAGGTGCGTTTTGGCATCTCTGCTACCCAAAATCAAAGTTAATAGAAAGCGACCACAACCAAGAATAAATAAATAGGATCACTGAAGGTCTCACCCCAGTAGTTAAAGAAACCTTGCCCAGCTGAGCTGCTGCTGAGAGCAAGAAGTCCTCAACAAAGACAGCAATCTGTGGTCCCCCTGCCTGTTTGTCCCTTTGCCAGCATCTTCCAGGTAAGCTCTGGGAGGCAGACTGGGAAAGGGCAGGGAGCCCAAACTTGCTCCTTCCTCTCTGCTTCCTGCGGGCTTCCTGCAGGCAGGATGGAGGTGGTGGTGGTGGTGACAGTGGCAGCAGCATGCGGCTCTCCCAGCAAAGATTCTTCATGTTTTTGGTTTTTGGTGCTTTTTTTTTTTTTTTCCTGAAGCAGCTGCTGTATCCAGTCTGTGGTTTTCCCAACAAGCACAAGATCCACTCTATCATGTTGCTGCCACTCTGAGGGTCTGGCCCCTGCTGCTGGGGCTCTTGGTGCAGAGACACCAGCTCAGCTCAGGCGGTAGTGGCCCCTCCTCCAAAGTCTGAGTCAGCTCCGTGCTGTCCCTCCTCTGAGTTCCTAAATGCTCCTAGGCTCTCCATAATATTACTTTCAGTAATAGGACCCTCCCCTCTCTTTGCTCCTTTAGCTCTTGAGATGGTAGATGCTACCTCTGAGATACTTTAGACGTTTTTATTTTATCTTGATAGTTACCTAGTTAATAACTCTGTATCTTGGGAAGGACCCCTTCTATTACCTTTACTCTGGTCAACTCCTCGGTGGGATTTCTTTGGTTTTTTTTTTTAAGATTTTTATTTATTTATTCATCAGATACACACACACACACGTGCGCAGAGAGAGAGAGAGAGAGAGAGAGAGAGAGGCAGAGGGAGAAGCAGGCACCCTGCAGGGAGCCTGACATGGGACTCGATCGTGGGTCTCCAGCATCACACCCTGGGCTGAAGGCGGCACTAAACTGCTGAGCCACCTGGGCTGCCCAGATTTCTGTCTTTGCACTGGATCCTATGTACCTTATCAATGACATATATAACTGTGGATTTCATTTCTGTGACTTTTTCTCACTTATTTTTTTTTAGTTTTAATACCAGTTACTTAAGGTTGAAGAGAAACTTTTTTTAAAAAAAGATTTTATTTATTTATTCATGAGAGACACAGAGAGAAAGAGAGGCAGAGACACAGGCAGAGGGAGAAGCGGCTCCATGCAGGGAGCCTGACATGGGACTCGATCCTAGGTCTCCAGGATCACGCCCTGGGCTGAAGGCGGCGCTAAACCGCTGAGCCACCTGGGCTGCCCCAGAAACGTTTTAATTTAGGGAAGTTTTAGATTCACAGAACAATTGCAAAGAGAGTTCAGAGTGTTCATATACCCCCACATATACACCCTATACATGTATATTTCCTAGTGTATTCATTCAAAGCTCTTATTTTCCCCCAGGCATGATTTTAACTGCATCCCGCAATCTTTGATATCTTGTATTTTATCATAATTCCATTAAAGTGCTTTACAATTTGTATTGTGGTTCCTCTGTCCCATGAAAAATTTAGAAATATAATCTTGGGATGCCTGGGTGGCTCAGTGGTTGAGCATCTGCCTTCGCCTCAGGTAGTGATCCCAGGGTCCCCAGGATAGAGGCCCTACTGGGCTCCCAGCAGGGAGCCTCCTTCTCCCTCTGCCTGTGTCTCTGCCTCTCTCATGAATAAATAAATAAAATCTTAAAGAAATATATATATATATTTTTTAAGATTTTGTTTATTTTAAAAAAAAGATTTTGTTTATTTATTCATGAGAGACACAGAGAGAGGCAGAGCACAGGCAGAGGGAGAAGCAGGCTCCATGCAGGGAGCCCGACATCGGCCTGGAACCCCGGGTCTCCAGGATCACGCCCTGGGCCAAAGGCAGCAGCGCTCAACCGCTGAGCCACCCTGGCTGCCCAAGAAATATATTCTTTTTTTAAGTTTATAAATTTATTTTTTATCCAAGAAATATATATTCTTAACCATGAAAAGCATATGTTGTCTTCTCGTTATCTTTTTACTGTTGTATCATAGACTGTTTTTCCTGTGACCTTATTCAGGTGCACCTGGTCTGTTTTGTGCACCTTCTGCATCCTTGTGGGGGACGGGCCCTGGGGGTGGGGGTGCCAGGGTAGAGGTGCAGCGCCCCACGGACGCCCACCTTGACCACTTCTTCATCAGTGTTGTGAAGCCATGAAATACACTCCGTGAAAGGGAGCGCAGAGGCCACGGGAGGGTGTTCCTGGGGTATGCCTGGAGGGGGAGCAGAATTCCCAGGGACAGCGTGGGGGCAGGGCAGTTCAAGATGTGATTCTGGCGCTGGGGACAAGCTTGAATTCATTTTTGATTCTTATCTAAATTTTAGTTGACACAGAATGCGATGTTGGTTCCAGGAGCAGAATTCGGTGATGCATCACTTACCCATAACGCCCAGCGCTCATCCCCGGTGCGCCCCTCAGTCCCCAGCACCCATCTAGCTCCTCCCCACAATCATTTTTAAAACGTGTAGATTAGAAGCGAGAATGCGGACAGCAAAAGCTACAGAGAGGCAGAAGTGCCCCAGCAACACAAGACTACGGTCAGTAAAGCTCCGGGACCAACCGGGAGGCCGCGGGACCCGCGCCCTGGGCGCGCCTCCCGCGGGGCTGCTGCCCCCGCCCCCGCCCCCGCCCCCGCCTCGGCCCATCCCTAACTCGGCGCTCGGCTGGGCACGCCTGCGGCGTCGCCATGGAAACGCGGCCCGAGCCCGCCCCGCCCCGCCCGGCCGCCCGCGCGTCCCCGCGGCCCCTCCACGGCCCCTCGGCGCGGGGGACTGGGGCGCCGGCCTGCGACGGGGGCCGCCGACGGGGGCGGGAGGTGACGGCGGCAGAAGGCGAGGGGGCGGGAGGGGCGATGGGGACTCGGGTGGCCGGGGCGGGAGTTGACGGGCGGGGGGGCGGTGCGGGCGACGGGCAGGAGGTGAGGGCGGGCGGGAGATGGGGGGCAGGAGGTGACGGGGCCTTCGGTGACTGGGGCGGGAGGCAGTAGGGACCCGGGTGCTGATATGGGGGCAGGTAGCGATGGGGGGGAGGCCCCGGGTCCTGCACGTGGGCAGTGGGGGCTTGGACAGGGTGACCAGGAAACCCCTGGGTGAAGCAGCTGTGGGTGGAGGACCCAGGATGCTGGGGAGGTAACCAGAGGTGCCATGAAGGGCTCTCGGGCCCAGCCCCGGGTGAGGAAAATCTTGCATGGCTGGGAAGGCACTGGGAGGGCGGTCGGTGGATGCTTCCATTTGGTTTCCATCTGAGGTCATTGTCCTGTCCAGCCTAGGGGTCTCCCAGCCGCCTGGAGCAGAAAGCGGGTCCTGGTGGCGGAGCGCCCAGCTGCCCCCCAGCTTGGGCAGCCTAAGCAAACCCCCTCCCAGGCGGGGCACCTGCCTGGACGGGTCCTGAGACCTGTGCTCTCACTCAGGTTCTTAGGGCTTATTTCCCAGATCTGGCCTCAGGCGCTCCCAGAGGCAGCCTACCCACCATCCCTGTTAGTTCAGAAAAGCACTAGGAGTCACAGGTGTGCCCCTTAAATGCAGGCTCATCATCTGGGTCATGGGACAACAACCGAAATCATGACACGCTCCAGTAGCTTGGTTGGATGCTCTGATCCAAAATGAGTGGAGACTGTGCGCCATAAAGCCTCCCCAGGACGCTGGGCCATCTCCCGACCTGACCACACGTCCATTTCTTTGTAGCATCACCCTGAGCAAGAGCAGAGGACACGGCACTGAGCAGGCACCGGTCCATCAGAGTGGCTCCGTGGCACTGGATCCGACCCAGACACAGATCCTTGGAGAGCGGATATGGGGACGGAGGTCACCGTCTGTCTAGCTGGACGATGTCCCCTCCTGCAGGGCACCAGATACATCTTTTCAAGTAAAGTGGGCCAAGCCATGGGGTCAGAATCGCCATAGACGCCCTACCGGTGCCCCCCAGGTGGGTGCCTCGTCCCTGGCAGCTGTACATCTGATAAAGCTCGGGCCAGGTCGCCAGGCTCCTCTCAGGTTCCGTGGCAATGCCATACTCCCAGGGGTATTGCTTACACGTGGCCTGAATTCGTCGTTTTTACCAGAATTAAATAAGAAATCCTCAGACCAGACCACTGAAAAAGCTGTTGATGAGCGCCGTTAGGGTAAAGCAGTGGGCGGTTGTCCACGCTGAGCACTGGCTCAGAGAGGCCCGGCGCACAGGAGCCCAGGCGCAGGGAGCTGCCGGCCAGTGATGAGTGGCCGTGTGCCACTGGCTGAGAAAGCCCTGTCGGAAAGCTACGCCCGGCTCCGGTACCGGGACACGTCGCTTCTCATTTGGCAGCAGCAGCAGCAGCAGCTGGAGTCTGTGCCCCCTGGGACCTACCTGAGCAGGAGCCGCAGCATGTGGTACTCACAGTACGGCAACGAGGCCATCCTAGTCCGCGACAGGCACAAGCTCGGAGTCCCCCGGGACACGGGCCAGTCCAAGTTCTGTACAATCATGTAATTCCAGGGAGAAAGCCGGGCCCGGGCCCTAGGCTGCGCAGAGAACAGGCCATGATCCACTCAGTGGCCTTGGTGGTTTCCAGTCCTTACTGGGAGATTCTGAACAGTGAACGTGATGACCCAAGAACCCAAGAGTCCCGGCAGCGGCTCCCAAGCCCTCTCCACAGTATCACCAGTCCACAGGCCCAGCGGACCTGGGCCCTGGGCTCCATTCTAGCCCCGCCAGCGCTGCGGGCCCGACCTGCCCGGGGCACCGCTAGTTGCTGCTTTTCTCTTAGGCTTCTGAGCAAGACGGCCACCCTGGCTTCCCACCACCTTTCCAGAAGTTTCTGGGTTTTCAGTTATTGCCTCCTGCCTGTTACAGAAGGGGGCAGGTCTAGAAAAAGAGGGCAGAATTAGCGTCATGAAGGCCAAGCAGGAGTAAGCGGGCAGCAGTGGGCTTTCGCCAGCAAGGCTGGCTGCGGAACGGGCACCGTGTGCTGTGCGCCGTGGGAGCTTCTACACCAGCTTCCGGGCACTTGGGGGCGAGCATGCGAGCGCATCCAAAAACATCACGGAAACCAAGACTTATCTTCTTCCCAACCAGCTGCTGACAGGATTTCAGATGTCATCACAGGACTGACAGGCAAATTTGGCCTCTCTGCGCTGAGGCGGCAGCTGGTCACCCATGGGGCGCTGGACATGTGCCCTACAGGACACCACGCAGGCGGCCTCGGTGCATCTGGGGGCAGTTTCTGTGAGGCATCTGCAAAAGATGTGCCCGTCTGTTGTAACTGAAGTCTGCGTGGCTATGTAAATGTGGGAATAGCTTTTGTCAAAGCTGACCTTTCTAAATAAATAATCTTTGGGACACTTCTTCCTTTCTCACTTGTTTTTATCTGTTTATTCATAATACCTTAATCTGGCTTCAGGTTTGTGTTTTTCAGTAACGGTAGAATCTAATGGTTGCTACAAACCCCGTTATAGAAATGCATAAAGCAGAGCCAAAGTGTGCTCCCCAGACAACCACCAGCAGCCCTGCATGTGCAATTGCGCACGGTTCTGAAGGCGTGGCCTGCACCGTGCATCTCGTTGTGCGGGTTCCCTCCTGCCCAGCTGTACAGATGGACATCTATGTCCTGTTCTCAGTGTCGGACTAGCAGTGCTCCTGTGAGCCAGCAGGTAGGCAGAGATGCTTCCCACTGCAGCTGTGCATATGGCATGTCCTGAGCTTCATCATACGTGCTTCTCTTTGCAGGTGTGCAAGTTCACCAGCAAGCCTCCCAGAAGTGGAACTGCTGGATCAGAGCACTCCCCAAATGTTCAACGTCTAGCCAGAGGCCTGGTCCTTAGTGACGGATCCTCAGTTTGCCTGCTGCATGGGGTCAGGAGGTCTGAAGCCACATTTCCTGCATCACCTCCCAGAGGTAAAGAGAGGGAAGCGTGTCCCATCTACACGGAACAAGACCTGCAGTCAGCAGCCCTGACACTGGGATTACCCAGAGATAGTTTAGGGCACGCCTCTGTGGTTCTTCAGTTTAAGTCCTGCTTGGGAAGATAGCAGACTTCAGGGACTCATCTGGAAGGCCTCCGTGCTGCATGTAGACCTGCCCCTCAGGATTGGCCTGAGAACAGGAAGTGGTTAGTGTGACCCAGGCATGGAGGCAGTACCTGGGAAGACAAGCACTGGCTGCGGCTAGTGTCTGCACAGGTCAAGGGGTGCAGGTGACCCACAGGCACTGGCCGCTCATAGGACAGCTGGCGCTAAGCTGCTTAGAGCACAAGAAGCCACCATCTGCTGGAGGGAAGCCAGGGTGGCTGGCTTCCATGACTGGGCCACCGAGTCCCCGTCCTTGGGGAGGTCAGCCTGGATGGGGGGGTAGGCGTCTAGACAAAGATGGTGTGTTCTGATGGGTCACTGGGAGGGTGCCCGTTGACAGCTGGGGGGCGCCACCAAGAACCCAGGACGGCTCTGCAGCGCTGGGCACCAACAGCCGCGACCGCTCAGAAAACAGCATCAGAGTGCCAGTCTGCCATCCATTCCTCACAGGAGCCTCTCTTCCATGCTGGGCTCTACACGCAGTGCAGGAAAACTTCAGCAAACATGCGACTGTGCCCACAGGACAGCGTCTGCCTCCTGCCATCTGGGAACACGCCCTGGAACCAGGCTCAGCAGTGGATGGAGCTCGGGGGAAGCATCTGCCTGGACAGGAGGGAGCAGCGAGCGAGGACCGCAACATGACCAAGGTTGTGATCCTTTGAAGAAAGGCTACGACGAGTGATGTTCCCCAAATCCTGGTGCCCTCCCACGCAGGCTGAGGACCAGAGCTACTTCCAACAGCTGAACGTTCCAGGGTGCGAGCCCAGGAGCCGCTGGAAAGCACAGGCAAAGGCACATACAGCCACCTTTTTTTTGTTGTTGTTTTATTATGAAAACAAAACAAATGCCCCAGGAGAAGGGTCCTTGATTACCAGAAACATCAAAGAGTACTTTCTACCATTTTTATTCTGTTGTGTTGAGGCCAGCATTGCAATAAACAAGCTAAAACTACTTACATTGGACTCATTTTCAGTAACTGACATTTACAGGAATATACTAGAAACGGCACTAAAAAGTTTTTAAGAAAAAGTTACGGTAAACTTGCATGCACATCATACAGAAAAGTAACATTTTAAATATAAAAAAGAAAACTTTCCGGAAGCGTTATGCCAGTCCTGGGGACCAGGTTACACTGGGCGGCACGGCACGCGTCCTTCTCTGGGTGGGGTGTTTCCCAGAGGGCTGTCACAGACGTGGGTGTTGCAGAACAAAAACAGAAACAAAAAGAAAACATATCTTACAGTTTGTAAGCAAGATGATGCCACCCCAGCACGAGCAGGGGTCTCTGCCCCCCACCCTGGGCCTCCAGGGCTCCCGTGAGGCCCACCTACTAAACACACGGTTCCTTCCCCTCGAGAGGAGGCCATGGAGAGCTGCCCTCAGGTTCTCCGTGCCACAACAGTCCGGCCTGACTGCGGTCTCCCCAACACGCAGAAACCTGGAGACGGCTGAACCTGTGCATTGCTGCACAGGCTGACCTCGAGGGGGCCGAGGATATACCCCGAACTCTGAAGAGAAATCGGCTTTGAAGTCTGCACGGAAAGCCTCAAGAAGCCACAGCACCATCGAGCTACACTGCTCAGAATGGATGGCAGCCCTCTGTGCCATGGCGGCCAGCGGCCTCCTCCCGGGGGGCAAGGGACAGAGGTGTTCCAGAACCCGTGTGTCCCGCAGAGCCAGCGGGTGACCAAGTACTCTGAAATGCTTCCACTGTGCTGGGGGCGAGGACCACACACTCCCCACCAACCTATCGGCTCACACAGGCGACCGCCCCCCGCTACGCCTGCAGCTGGACAGGTGCTCCATGGGAGCCCCCCGCACCCCCCAGGCACCCTCTGCTCAGGGAGGTGCACTCGCTGCACGTTGCCAGAGAGATCCTGCTGTAAGACCATCCGTCGTGTCATGTATTAATTCCTTAAAGTCCTAGTTTAAATATTCCATTACGGATCTGCTTAGAAAACACCTTTGAAACACAAGGGTAACTCTAAAAAATGTCAAGTTGAAAATCCACATATATTTTTATTATAAACAAAACTTAATGAAAAGTTTAACAAACTGGCTCAAAACTCACCAAGCGTCAGAATCACCAGCAGTAAGAAACATGGTAACCCGCCACCCGCTGCCTCATCGGTTCCATGCCCGGCAAGGGCATCTGTGATCCTAAGGGCCGGTGGAACCTGAATCCACTTTAGGATTTTTATAGACTGCCCCCCTACTAGGATATTGATGACCTGAACCCCCCACCCACTCCAACCACCTGGAAACTCACCACCGGACCACAGGTCAGGCCACCCACAGCTCCGCCCCCAGCACCCACTTCCAGGAAGTCCTCACGGGGAGGTCTGGGACAGTGCCCTGTCTGTTATTTCTGTGCTAATGGGAAAACGCTCAAGCAGGGAGCCCAGTGTGGTCTTTAGGGAGCAAACCCTCCCGTGGCCAGAGGCTCTTCCACCCCCGGGAGAGTCTGGCCAGGCCACTGTTGGCTGGCGGGAAGGCTGCACTGGAAGGCTGCACAGGGCCGCAGGAGCCCTGCACCAGGGGTTGGGAGGTTAGGGGCGTCCCTTTGGGGGGCCTGGACGGCTGGCCCCTGGCACTCTCGGCCGAAGCCACAGTGCTCCAAGCTCAGGCAGGCAGTGCGGGGTGTCCCTGCGCTCAAAGGCCACAGGGCAGCCTCTGGAAAAAATAAAACCAAAACATAACCTTCTGTTAAACTCTGTATATTATTATTATTATTTTTTACAATAGAAAGTTAAAAATCAAGACTTAGATTTACTATACATTTTTTTCTCTCAGATTACAAAGTTTATATTATATAACTGGGGTTCCCTAAATTGATTTCTTTTAAAACAGTCCTAAAGAGACCAGAAGTGAGTACAAAAGAACTCAACACACAAAATGTGAAGACCGAGAATGCGCTGCAGCTGGAAGTTGTCTACGCCCGCACGTCTCCCAATCCCGCACACGGGCACGGAGGACACACAGAGCCCTGTGGGGCAGGGCCCGGGGAGGGCGAGCGCGCAGACGAGACAGCACCGGACAGGTGGCGGGACGCCAGCACCTGGAGGCCACGGGTCCGCCATCGGAGCAGGGTCTGGGGCTCTCCTCGAACCACTGAAAAGGCCTGCATTTCTTTTTTTTTTTTTTTTTTTTAAAAACCACCAATGATGTTAATAAATAAAGTGTTCATATATACACGAGACTGGGAGAAGGGCTCCAGAGTGTGCAGCAGCGGCAGCTCACGAGTTGGGGACACACATGGGGCTGGACTTTCGTAGAAAATTGCTGAACCTTACAAAAAAGTCTCCTTTAGTTTTTTTTTTTTTTTAATCTTTTCTTTTTTTTTTTTTAAGTTGAGGTAAAAGTTTCAGTGTATGGAAAGCTGCGCGTGGCACACGCGGCCCCCGTGTTCCCTCCCAGGAGCTCCCGACGCCCCTCCCTCGGTGCCCACCTGCCTCTCCCCACCCCTGCAGAAGCCCGGACTGGAGCCCGCAGCACCTCCACAGTCCCCCAACCCTGCAGCAAGAGGTGACCCCAGCCGCGGGGCTGAGCTGGGGGGACAGAGACATCGCCTGTTTGCAAAGCTGACAGCCTTCGGTGCAGTACCATCTCAGAGAAACTTCCTTTCAAACAATGCTTTCTGGAGCTACAGACCAGGTTGGGCATAAGAAAGGGGTTTTGCAAGAAACTTCAGATCACATCTGACATTTTTTTCTACGGTCATCAGGTCAGCGTTTGAAGTTGCCGTCTCCAAGCAACTCAACTCAGTTACGAAGGGAAGGCTTTATGCAGGTTCACACCTTCTCATAAAGCCTCACGTACACACGAGAAAGATCTTTGACCTATTAAAGCAAAAACTGGAAGATACCGTAACACTGAGTTTAAAAGAAAACCTGCACGCCGTGGAACCAAAGTAGTATATTAACCAGAGAAAGGAACACTGCAGAGTTTCGGCGTGTGCGACATCGCTGGTTTTGTTCTGATCTGCGAGTCCAGAGCTCATTCTGAGTCGCTGCTGTCGGAGCTGGATCCGCTGGAACTGCTGCTCCCGGACCCGGAGGAGCTGCTGCTGCTGAGCCGGGATGGCCCTCCCGAGGGCGCAGAGCCCGCTTTCTCTGAGGGAGACGCAGCAGGTGAGAGGCACTCCCCACGCACCCCCATACACCCCTGCACTGGCTGGGCAACCTTTCCCGGAACATCCACTGGCCTCACACCGACCCGTCACGAGCCTCGGCCCAGCCTGCTCCCGACCCAGTTGGCTCCATCAGTATTAACCAAGTATTTGTTGGAACAGATGCCCACACTAATGAAGTTATGGTTCGGTAGAGAAACCATAGAAGCCCAAGAAAGGGGTTGGGCCCTCATCTGGGTTCCAGGCACATAGCCCCTAATACCTTTGTGGTCCTGAGTGATAACAATGTTTTTGGTTGTTTACAAGGAGCCCCCAGCCCCCAGTGGATCACACTCGAGTTTATGCTCATGAGTGACTTAGGGTATGGCTATCACCAGAAAAACTGGGTGATGGTGGCTGGGAACTCCAGGGAAGGGAGTTCCAGAGGTGCCGGAGACAGAGTGCTATAACACTCTCAATTCCCAGAGCCTCTGGGATGGGGAGCACGTGAGGTGCGGGGAGGGTGGCACGCCCACAGAGGGAGGGAAGCTGGCACCCCCGCCATGCTTTGCCCTGTGCATCTCTTCCACCTGGCTGTTCCTAACTTGTATTCTCTATGAAAAACTATACAGTAAGTTTAGCGCTTTCCTGAGTTCTGTGAGCCATTCTAGCAAACTTTCAAATCTGAGTGGAGGGTCATGGGAGCCCCAGTGTAGAGCCTATTATTGGTCAGCGGCAAGGCAGGCCCAGGACCTGCACCTGGCGTCTGAGAGAAGGGCAGTCTTGTGAGGGTGAGCCCCCCCACCTGCAGGCTCTAAGCTAACTCCGAGTAAGCAGTGTCACACCTGAACTGAATGGTCGGACCCCTACCTGGAGTTGGGACTGCAGAACTAGTGTGAGCAAAAGCCCACACATTTGGTGTCAGAAGTGTGAGTAAAAATACCTCAGGGGTCAATACAACTATGGAAATACGCCAGAGTCTACAAAACCCAAATGCAGTCCACTAGGAGGAAGTAATAGGGCATGGGGGGAGGTCTGCAGTGTGAAGATACCCATCAGTCAGTCACCTGATGGGTGGCACCTACTCTGCAATCTAAGGGGACCCTCCCCCTTCAGAGGGAGCAGACAGGGCAAGCAGGACCAGGCAACGGGCGGCACCCAGCCCCTCTGTGCCTCTGACCACTCACTACCTGGGCCGCACCATCCCTGCGGCTGGGAAACAGGGATTTGCCCTTTCTTGCAGGCTCGAGAAAAAGAGATATGCAGTCAAGTCACCTGCTCACCTAAAATAAGACCCTGTAGTCCAAAAGCACAGGACCTGGGGATAGGGAGCTGGAACCTCTCTCCTGTCTGGGACAGCCAGAAAACTTGCTGCCAGGGGCCAGGACCATGGGGTCTAGCCCTAAACACCACAGTTGGGCCCTCCCGAAGAGTCCTCCCTGGGGGTTCTGGCACAGGGCGCTCCCACACATGCCTTCCATCTGCTCAGCCTCCATGCAGGACGAGGGTCCTGGTCCCCAGTTCACAGACTCAGGAGCTTCATCTAAGGGCACAGCACCTCTCAGCTGGTAGAGCCGCAGACAGAAGCCTGGATCTGCCGGCCATTCCCCTGCCACTTACCCTCCCTCCTCAACAGAGAGAAGCAGTTGGGGCTGCAGCATGACCCCATGCCTTGGCAGCAGTGCGGCCCGCACACAGTTACCTTTCTTGGCAGGCTTCTTGTTGTTGTTCAGCTGTCCACTGACGTCCTGTAGCCGCTTCTCTAACTCCTTCTTCTTTTCCTGAGCTAACTCCTCCTTCGACTTGGCCGCCTGCTTCTTCCCACTTGTGGCTGGAGAAAAGCACAGAGCTGAGATGGTGTGGTGGGACAGACAGAGGACAGGTGGCCACCACAGGTGCATAGCTGCCGCCAGGTGCCATCCAGCCATCCCGGATGCTCATAGCGTGTGCTGGGCCCCCACAGCGTGTGCCACTGCCTCTGAGTCTGAGGAGAACTTACCCAGGGTCAGGTGCACCTGACTGCAAGGATCACATGACTCCATCCAGGAGGAAGCACGTGGGCCCACTGACAGGGCACACCCCCGGTGTTCCCTGGGGCCAGGGCCACTGCCCAGCTCTCTTGCTGCCACAGGGCTGCCTCTCACTCTCCAGGACCTGCTACCCCAGGCAGTGCCTTGTCCCCATCCAGTAAAGTCACTGACTTCCTGGGCAAGCCTGGGCTAGCCTGGCAGATGTCTATCCTGGGAGGTTGGACCCTCACTCCAGGCAAAAGGGAACTAACTGGTTTGTCCTGGCTGGGGACCATCAAGAGGTCACCTGCAACCTTGGTCCCAAATGGAGCCCCAGGAAGGCTTGTGGTGGCAACCTTAACTGGCACTTGAATGAATGGGGCCAACCCAGTGGTCCTGCCCGTCCCGGTGACAGCCAAGGCAGGCAGGTGCTGCCCACCTGCCCCACAGCAGGGAAGATGGGCCCAGCTGAGCAAACAGGTATCCTTAGGGCACATGGTGGGAGTGGACAAGGAGAGTGACCTGCCCCACTACCTGGCTTTCCCCATCTAGGCCTACAGGAGAGGGGAGGAGGGGAGGCAGGGATGAGGGCAGGGATGGTGAGCATGGTGCTCAGCCCCCACAACTTACAGAATGGCTTCCTTTGCTTTTTCTGTAAACAAGACTTGACGTATCTCTCTAGCTCCCGCAAAGTGGTTGGTTTCAGAGTCTCAAAGTCAATCTCTATCTCATCGGGGTTGGAGTCCCTGAGCGAGGGCTCCCGGGACTGGATGATGTGTACCACCCGGCCCAGTTTCTCCCCGGGCAGCCGGTTGATGTCTAGGCTGAGCTGGCGCTTCTCGTCATAGCTCATGGGCAGGCCTTCTTCCTCCTCTTCCGAGTCGTAGGAGGCTGATGCCTGCTTGCCACCCTTCTTCGGCTGCCTGAGGCACAAGGCAAAGAACATCGTGGCACAGAGTCCCCACCCCTTTCTCCCCAGCCCAGAGCCCCTACCCCCTGTCCTCCCAACACCCGTGGAGCCCCCAGCCCAACAGAGCCCCTGCCTCCATCCCCCCAGCCCAACAGAGCCTCTGCCCCTCATCCCCATTCTGTCTTGGCCTTCTTCCTTTCCAGAACCAGGCTCTTTTACCAAGAGGCAAGCCCTAAGTGGTGCCCCAGGACAGAGAAGCCAGGTGGACTGTCTGAGCGTTGCACATGCGCCTGCAGGGAGTGGACAGAGAAGACTCTGTTTCACAGGTCAGAGCAGAAGTTGCTCCCAACTTGGGGATTTCCAGGCCTTGGCCATAAAAGACTGTAGTGGTCAGTTCCTCTCAACACCCTACAGGCATCTCATTCAGCAGGTCAAAAACTGATCTCCATATTCAAATAATCCAAAAGGAGGCAGAAAAGGGGACAGAGGAATAAAAACCAGAGGGACAACAGAAAATAATAAAATGGCAAACCAAAATGCAATTTATCAATCATTACATTAAATGTAAACAGTCTAAACACACCAACTAAAAAGACATAATCAGGATGGATAAGAAATAAGACCCGACTTACATGGGTCTCAAACCCTACGTTAAGTACAATGACAGAAGTAGGTTAAAACTAAGGAGATGGGGAGAAACCCTGCAAATGCTAAATGAAGGAAAACTGCAGTGGCCGTGTTAGCTTCAGATAGCAGAGACTTCAGAACAAGGTCAGGAAGAAGAGGGACGTGGCATAGTGAGAAAAGGATCAACTGACCAAGAAGACATCACAGTGCTCAATGTATGTGCCTCTGAAAACCAAGCTTTAAAACGTATGAAGCAAAACTGATAGAACCAAAGGGAGATAGAAACATCCACAATTACAGCTGGGGAGTCAACAGTTCTCTCGGTGATTGATAAAGCAAATCAGCAAAAAGAGAGGAGACCCCAACAACATCATCAACCAAATTAACCTGACATGCAGGCAACACTCAATCCAACAGCAGAACACATGTTCAAGTCCACATGGAACATTCCCCAGTTCCCAGCCATAAAATAAATCTTAACAGGAAGTATCAAGATCACACACAGTATGTTCTCTAACCCTAATAGAATAAAAAACCAGTAACTGAACCATGTCCAGAAAAATCTCCAAATACTTGGAAATTAAACAACATACTTCTAAATAACCTGTGATCAAAAAGGATGTCTGAAGGGAAATTAGAAAATATTTTAAACTAAATGAAATCACATATATCAAATTTGTGGAGTACAGCTAACGTAGTGTTTAGGTAGAAATATATAGTATTAAATGATTACATTAAAAATGAGGTCTCAAATCAATAACCCTAGTTTCTACTTTAAGAGAGCAAATTAAGTCCAAAGCAAGCAAAAGGAACGGATAAAAATAAGACCATAAAGAAAAGGAAGTGAAAGCAAGTAAAACCCAATGACATCAAATACCGGTAACAGCCAATAAAAGAAATCATTTTCTCTCCAGATTCACCAAGAAAAAAGACAAATTACCAAAGAAAGGACACCTCACTAGAGGCCCTACAGATGTTAAAAGGACAATACGGGCACACGTATTCCACAATTCAGGTGAAATGGAGCAATGTCTCGAAAGGCACAAATACCCAAAACTCACTCAGGATGAAACTGATAACCTGACTAGTCCGGTACCTAAAAGATAACTGAATTCATCATTAAAAACTTTCTACCAATGAAAACTCCAGGCCCAAATGCTTTCACTGGGGAATTCTATTTAATACTTAACAGTTAATGCCAACTCTATAAATCTATCCAGAAATCAATCAATCTATCCAGAAAATAGGAGAGAACACCTCCCAACTCATTTTCAAGGCCAGTATTATGCTGACACCAAATCCAGATGGACACTATGAGGAAACCTGATTTCTGCCTCTCCTCTGAAGGGGAGGATGGGGGGAGGACAATACTCGAGCATTCCCACCACCACCTCTCAATGATGCCGCAGACCACCCAGCTGCCAGAGCCCAAACCCCCAGCTCCACATGGCCCTGTCTTCCTGCCTCCAGGCACCAAGGCCTGTCCCTTCTGCCTCCCCCTCCATGGCCACCCCGGCCTCTCTTGCCTGCATAGCCACAAAACCTCCCGGGCTGTCCTTTCTCCTCTTCCTGCATCCCACCACTCCATTCTCCACACTGACTAGGATCTGACCACTTCCAGCTCAAGCACTTCATGATGTCCCTTCACCTGCTCAGAGGATAAAACGAGAGGCCTCAACAAAGCTGGCCGACCTCAGCGGCCTCTCCTGACCCCTCTTCCCAAAGCAGTCTCCATTCCTCAGTGCAGCCAACTTTGTCCTAATTCCCACTAATTCCTACAATGTGTCTGCTGGCCCCCACAGCTTTGTCGCCACTGTTCCTGACTCTCAGAACCCTGTCCTGACTGCTGCTGGGCTTGCTCCTGCATAGCGGTCACCCCTCCTCTGGGAAGCCTTCCTTCTACCTTGCAGGAGAGGCATGCTGGCCTGGAGCGCCTTCCCCCCATCCTCATCTCCCTGTTGTCCTGTCTGTGGCAGGCATTCCTCAGGGCAGTGTCTGGCACTGCAGGAGGGAAGACAGAGGGAGGTGGACCAGAAAGAAGAATCTGTGCCAAGGCGCAATGCCCCAGATAGAACCCCTAGCCCAAATCAGGGAAACGAGCCCAACGCCTTGAGATGCCGAGGTCTGTGCCAGATAGTGTGACCACTCTAGTACCCGAGATCGAGAGGCTAGCCCCAAGGACAGCTAAGTGATACCCTCCAGAGCCCACTCTTCCCAGCAGAGGCCTCATTTTATCCCTGTACTCTTCCCAAAGGTGGGAAACAAGGACCCCAGCCTGTTTTCCATGGACCAGCCCAGTCTCTGTCCCAAGGACCCACAGCCATGGTGCAAAGGCCCAAACCTAGTACCCTTCCTGCCACACAAGCACTGAGGACACACAACATTGGGCTTGGAGGGGCCTGAAGGGCGCCACAACCCACCTGCTGGCTGTGGCTGTGCTGCTGGCCTTCTTGGCGGGAGCCTTCTTCGGTTGGGCCTGCTTGGCAGGTGGGGCCACCTTGGCCTTCTTCTCGTCCTCAGACTTTGCCTTGTGCCTCTCCTTGTCCTTGTCTTTGTCCTTGTCCTTCTTCTTCTTCTCCTTTTCCTTCTTCTCCTTCTTCCTCTTTGGCTTGTTCACTGGGGCCTGCGACAGGGCGGCTAGCTGCTCGTGCACAGCCTTCAGCTGGAAAATAGCAGGTAGCTGAGCAGGGCTCCCTGGGAATAGCCCAAGAGGGCCACGGGTGATGGCGGGGGGCCTTGGGCTCCCCTTGGAGCTACCTCAACCGGGGAGGTGAGCCAGGAGCTGAGGGCATCAAAGCCCCACCTGGCCCTCACTACCCCTGTGAGTGCTGGAGAGCTGCCGGGCCTCACCATCCTCACCTGAAACATGGCTCACGGGTGGCCAAGAGGTGGACAGATGAGCCTGGTGGGGACCAGTGCAGGTGGCACAGTAACAACTTGATAAAAGGCAGCTAATGCTTTACTCGCCACATTTTCAGACAAAGTCAACTCTACAAAGAGGTTTATGCATCTGTACGAAGGAGATTTTCAACAGCTACTTTTAGAAGCCATTTAGGGCAGCCCGGGTGGCTCAGCGGTCTAGCGCTGCCTTCAGCCCAGGGCTTGATTCTGGAGATCTGGAATCGAGTCCCATGTCGGGCTCCCTGCATGGAGCCTGCTTCTCTCTCTGCCTGTGTCTCTGCCTCTTTCTGCCTCTCTGTGTCTCTCATGATTAATAAATAAAATCTTAAAAAAAAAAAAAAGAAGCCATTTGGATGTCACATGGTAAATATGCAGGATTAAAATGATCCAGGGCCAGTAGCTAATGTTTACCCCATGCCGACACATATGGGGTAGCATGTTAAGTGCTTTACATACTTCTCATTTCAGCAACGTCCGAGGGTCATGAGGGCCCATAAGCTCCACCTCATTGGAGAGGAAATGGGGTCACAGATCCGGGGCCACTGGGTGTACACCCGGGACCATCTTCCCTGTGGTGTCACCTCTAGAGGCTCAGCCCAAAGTCAAACAGCAACCTCACACTAGTGACCACAGAGCCACTTCTACTCTGCTCTCTCCTCCCTGTCAGATAGACCAAAGTGGGACGACCTCGTTCCTACAGCAGCCACAAGCCAGCACCCTCTAGATGCTTCCATGGCGGATGAGGCACCCAGAGCCCAGCAGGACCCCAGGCACAGACAACACAAGTCAGGCTGGCACGACCCTGATCTGCAGGCACTCCCGAGGGGCCCTCGGCGCTGATGCCTTCCCCTCGTCCTGCCCAGGACGGCCTGGCCCGGTGGCATACCTGCTCCTGCAGCTCCGCAAGCCTGGTGGCCCGCTCCTCCTCCGAGTCCGAGCTGCCTGAATCCGAGGAGCTCTCCTCGCTGCTGCGGCTGCTCTCCGCACCCTTGCTCAGCACAGGGGCTGCGGGGGCAGGCAGTGCCGGCGCCTCCACCGGCTCATCCGGCATCTTGGCAAACCGCATCTCAAACACGTCCTGTGGGAAAGCAGGGGCCACCTGAGGTCCTGGACGCCCATGGGGAGCCCCTTAGAGTGGGGGACCCACACCTGAGCGTCCCTGAGATGCACTCAGAGCTGCACCTGCAGTTACTTCAAAGGCCAGGCCTCGAGGGGGACTGGGCCACCCCAGCTTGCTCACCCTCCCTCCCTCCCTCTGTCCCTGTCCAGGCACTGAGTGCAGGTCTGGGGCAGGGACCAGGGGCCAACAACCGCAGGTGCAGCCTTCTAGGAACTGGTCCACAAACTCCCTTTACTAAGCACACAAGCCTTCTGTCTTGTCAAGATCTGCGTATCCTTTTGACTTCTGGGTCTGAGGCCCTATAGGCTTCCGCCCACTGCAAAGCAGCTCCCAAGTTCCTACCTCTGACCTATGACCTCTGCAGGGCCCCCAGATGCTGGGTCTGGGGGCCAGTTCACATTCTCCCCCATTCTCGCCCTAGGATTTTACCATAGCATCATATATCTCATTCCAAGCTGGGCCCAAAAGTTGGCTCAAAGGCACAAGTCTTATCCTGTCAAAACTGGCTTTGAAAAGCCCCTTGGCCAGCTCAGAACAGAACAGGACCCAGGCCCTCAGGGACACCTCCCAGCCAAGGTTCCCTCTCCTGGCAGCCTAGGTTCATTTCAGATGGGGGTGCACAGCCACATGGGAGCTCTCTCTTTGCTAAGCCCATACACCGGAATCCATATCAGCTCACACAAAATCCCAACCTACTGACAAGGCATCATCCAGGTTCTGGTCCCAGACTCTCCTCTTGGGATAAAGACATTCCCAGAAGCACAGATGTGCACAGCGGCCTGGCCTGCTCCTGGCACATGGCCTAGAGGAGCACTGACAGCAGGCTGCCTCAATGCTGGGCTCCGACACCAGCGCTGGATTTGCATGACTGCACTAGTGCAGTTACCGAACAGCCATTGGTAATCGAGACTGGTGGCCTCTGTGCACATATTGCTGAGAACCAGCTGTTGCAGGAAAAGATCCAGAGCCACTGGCCTCTGCACTCTGCTTGCACACCCGATTTGCCACCAGCACTGCTTGGCTTCCTTATTAAGCGAAACCACAAGTTACCAGGTTTAGGAGTATCACAGAGCCAACATGGAGTAGGATTTTACAAAGTCTTTTGTTCCAAAACACAGTGGGGCGTGGTCTCCGTAGAAAACTACAGATCCTGCTTGCTTCCTGGGGCTACTAAGACTGCCATGCCATACTTCCCAGTGAGAGCCGGTCCACAGAGGGTGCAGCCAGCAACAGCAGAGCCTGGGAAAGGCTCACACGCAGGAAGACCCAGCAGCACGAAAGATAGCTTCTCCCTCCTCCCTCCTCTGAGTCCTGGGAGGTCAAGGGTGACACCGTGAGCTGTTTCACGGGTTTTTAAAAGGGTTCTAAGCAAAGACTAGGAACACCTCACATAACAAACAGCCTACATCCGGGGGCGGGGCGGGGGAGGGGACTGCTAGAAGAGAGTAGAGATCCGCAATTTTTGCTCTTTCCTCCAAAAAAAAAAAGCCTTTCAATTACATAATGTTTAAATTTTGGTACTATTAGGGTGCCTGGGTGGCTCAGTTGGTTAAGTGTCTGACTCTTTATTTTGTTTTAGGTCATGATCTCGGGGTCCTGCGAGGGAGCCCTGCACCAGGCTCCACTCTCAGCGGGGAGTCTGCTTGAGATTTTCTCTCCCCCATCCGACCCTCCTCCTGCTTGCACCTGCATGCTATCTCTAAAATTATTTTTAAAAAGTATCTTTAAAAAATGTTGATGCTGTTATTTAAAAACGCAACAATGCATCATACAGAGAGTGCACTGACCCACACAGAAATAGGTGGGCAGCACCCAGACTTTGGCAGAAAGTCGCACATGTGTGTGAGACCTGAGGGCACAGGTACATGGGTCCCTACACAGAAGGCCAGACTCACCTTCCCTACAGTCCCCACACCTTGTCCCCCAAACTGTCTGCTTTTGTCAGAAAAGGCTGCACAACCATCACGTGACCCAGCTTCCAGCAGCCTGACCGGCAGGCCCATGACAAAACCCCCCTGGCAAAGTGAAGTGGTGGGAGGAGGCATGCCTGCCTTCTCATCTCTTCCCCCGCTGCTGGAGCATGAGCCTGTCCCGGAGGGTGCCTTCCCTGCAGCTCTGCCTGCAGCTCCTGGAGGGCAGAGGTTGGCCTGTTCACCCCCATGTCCCCGGGAAGCAGGTGTGGGGCCTGGCCCACACTGGGCACCACTCAAGAGAAAGGTTTTATGTGGGTGAGGCTCTCCCACAGAGCCCTGTGTCTTTCCTGGGCACCCACCCTAATTTGCTGGTCCCACCAATGCCCAGAAGGATCCCTGCCTGAGAGCCTCGGGTTACCTGGAGCTTCCTGGCCATGGCCACCACCTCGTGGTCTGGGGGGTTGTATTTGTAACAATTGGAGAACATTAACCGGATGTCAGCAGCGAAGCCCTGCGCGTCTGGGTACTCGCGACTGTCCATCTTCTTCTGTAACACACAAGCAGCAGGGTGTGAGGGGCACTGCCTGGCACTCTGGGGCTCAGCCAGACCCCACGTGCATGCACACGACCCAGCAGCACACGACCACCAGCCACGGCCCAGCCCAAGCACAGCACACGACCCAGCACACGACCACCATCCACGGCCAGCCCAAGACCCCAGAAAGAGTGTGGGATGGGAGTGGGACTCAAGGGCCTGGAAGGGAGGGGAGGCAGCCACCCTGGGTGGAGGGCAACGCAGGAATCCTGGCTCCTATAGCCGCCCTGTAACGTCTCCTTGCTCTAGTTCTCAGCTCTACACGTTGGGTCACTTTATACAGCGAAGTCCCTGACAGGAAGAGCTCCAGGGGGATCGCGGAGCCTCCAGTAAGTCACTGCTACCTCGGGCAGAATGTCTACTCAGTTCACAGATCAGGACACTGACTTCGTCCCCAAGAGAATCCAGGCATTGCTGGCCAGCCTCCCCCTTGCAGGACTCACCAGATGGTCCCAGCCAACCCAGGAGGACAAGGCAGGGTTGGGAGAGAGACAAAAGGCACCTGCATGTGCACAACAGAAGCACGACCATCAACACACACAAGATAGTGGCTCACAGTAAGGGCAAGTGGAAGGGAACTGCTTGGTGAGGGAGTGAGCTCTCTGTGTCTGGGTGGGGTCAAGTAGAAACCATGAGTCAGGGCCATCCTGTCAGCAAGGGGGCCTGCAGGAGCCGACAGCCTGCCCGGCTGGCACCTGTACAGACAGAATCCTGGGCTCCCCGCTCAGCCGCCCCTGGCTGTGTGGCTTGGAGTCACCATCCTCACTGGCTCCACAGAGCTCTAGGGGTTAAAGGGGGCAGGAGGGACGCCTGGGTGGCTCAGTGGTTTAGCGCCTGCCTTCGGCTCAGGGCATAATCCTGGAGTCCTGGGATTGAGTCCCACATCGGGCTCCCCACAGGGAGCCTGCTTCTCCCTCTGCCTGTGTCTCTGCCTCTCTCTCTGTGTCTCTCTTGAACAAATAAATAAAATCTTAAAAAAAAATTCTAAAAAAAACAAAAGTTAAAAAAATAAATAAAGGGGGCAGGAGCGTCACTGAGGTCAAAAGTGCCCCCTTCCAGGTGCTGTGAGCCCTGCCGGCTCCAGGCCTCAAGAGTCAAAGAAGTGGATCCCAGGACGCTCCACCAGCAACTCACCTGGGGTGGGCCCTCCAGCCTCCACGTCCTCGTCTCTGACCCGCAGGGGTGCATGCAGATGAAAGGCCTGGCCCCTGTCCCCCCAGCCCAAGTCCCGGCCAGGGCACTGTGCAGGGCGGACAAGACAGACACGCAGCCCTGCCCGGGGCCAAGGGGGCCAGCTGCCCGCTGCCAGCCCAGAGCCAGGACCACGCATACCCTAAGCAGGGACAGCGCCTCCGTGATGCGGGCACCTGGCCTGACATGCGCAGCCATTCCTGCTGCCCCAGTCAGGACCGGCTAGCAGAGAGCAGGCCTCTGCCGAGAATAAATCCAACCAGGGTTAGGGCTTCTCCCCAGGAGGGGGACAGTGCGAGCTTGGCCCTCCTGCCTCTGCTCGGATCTTTCTGCTCATTCTCTACTCGCGCTGACTCACACGGATAAGACATTGTCTGAAGGAAAGGAAGGTACCAGGCTCCCGGCAGGGGCAGGACAGAAGGTATCCGAGGAAGAGGCTTGGTGCTGAGTGGTTCGCCCACCACCACAGGCTGGCTTCACTGAGAAAGCAGGCACAAGGCCAGGGACCAGCTGCTCAAGGCCCAGACCCTCTGTGTAGATAATAGCAGCAACTGCTCCCCTTTGCAGGGGTACCTTTAAGCGCCACATGGGCAGCTCGTGGGGGAGCTGGGCTACAGTCTCCAACTGCTGGGGTGTTCCTGGGAGACCCAGAGGCCAGCACCTGGCTGGCTCACAGTGCTCCTGAGGGCAGGTGAGCCAGGGCCCAGCCCAACGGGCAGCCAGAAACCCCACCTGCATGGGCTCAGGAGCCGCTGTGCGGGAGGCCCCAGCTCTTGGTCTCAACTCTGCTACTTCCCCCACTCTGGGCAGGGAGAGGGAGGGTCACCTGAAAGGGCCTCTTTGAGGACATCCTGAAACCTGCAAACACACCAGGACAGGACACGGGTTCTAGCGGAACAGAGGACTATGAAGCCCCAGGCTCAGGGATGGCAGGCAGGCCTCGTACCCCCCAGACACCACCAGACCCAAGCCACCCATGGGACACATGCCAGTGGCACTCTGGGTGGTGCCCCTGCCAGCAAGAGGCCGCACGGTACCTTGACGGTGCTGAGGTCCATCGGGTGCTTGATGATGTCGTGGTAGTCATGCAGCTCCAGGGCCTCAGCGTCCACCGGCTTGTAGAAGGGCCAGGCGTAGGCCGCATGCTTCTTGGACAGCATTTCCTTGAGGATGCTGTCACAGTGCCGCAAGTGCTCCGATAGCTTGCCCTTCTTGCCCGCATGCTGGGGCACCTCGCCGTCCTCTAGATCCTTCTTGGGCGGTTTGATGGGGCGGCCCCCACTCTCTCGCCGTGCCACCACCTTGGCCTGCTTGGGGTCTGACAGTGGCGGGGGCGACTCGCTCCGGCTCGCGGTGATAGCAGATGTCGTGGGCGTCGTGGTGTCTGCTTTCCGCTTTACACCCTTTTTCTGCGACAGTGAGATGACCAGTGAGCTCAAGAACGTGCAGTGGGCACAAGAACACCCATGCTTGCAGCTGCGTCTTCCACAGTGTGCTCCGCCAGGCTCCAAGCAAAGCGACAGCATGCACAGCCATACCCATCCTCCCGGCTGCCCCTGCGCAGTCCACAGGATGCCGAGACTCAGAGTGGCCACATGTTGGGACCCAGGTCACACAGCTGGTAGTGGGAAGGCTGGACTTGGAACCCAGCCCAGTGCTGCCCCTCAAGGGTCCTCTCCCTTTGCCCCCAGGGTTCCGAGGTCACGCCTGAGCAGCATGAGGTGTGGCATGCAAATCACCAGTGCCTAACCTCAGGCTCGTGTGGGAGGCTCCAGACACAAGCATGACCTGGGTGACCTGGCCCCGGGATCATCCCCAGGTGGTACTCAGGCTAAGGGGCAGCAGAAACAAATGGAAATCCCTGCTTATAAAGGCCAGTGGGAAAGCCCCAGCTAAGGGCCTCAAAGCTGGAGCTTCAAGGACAGCCATCGTGGTGCAGGCCGAGGCCAGGAGGCAGGAAGAGCATGCCGGGCAGGGACTGGGGCCAGGCAGCAGCGGGTTCAGGACCGAGGACTCCAGGGGGCTGACTGGGCAGGTCTGGACTTTAATCCTGAAGGCAGTGGGAGCCACAGAAAGCTGTTTTCCGCAAGGGGAGGGAGTGCCAAAGTGACCCGTAGAGCCTCTTGTGGGTGTGAAGGGCAGACACTCTCATGGGCTGTGCCCTGAGAGCGAGGACATGTGGTAGAGCCGTGGGTCCAGGGCATGTGAGTCTCTTCAGGTACCACACCCGGGGGCCTCAGGTGTGCTCTGCAGCCAGGGCTCAGTACGTCCCCGAGACCAGCTCAGCCAGCTCCCAGCCTCTCAGACTGGCAGAGGAGCCCCTCAGAGCTGCAGCTCCCAGGCTGACGGGCTCACAGGACCTGCCCTCTGGGCCACCGCCACGGTCTCTGGCCCAGCCAAGCCACCACCACCAGGCTGGCAGGGGCACGACCTGGTTATCCACAAACACTTGTGGGTATCCACAGGACACCAAGCGTGTGCCACAGAGGTCCGCAGGGGAGCTCACCTGGCCATGGCAAACAGGACATGCTCCAAAAACAGCCGGGCACTATGTAAGGCAGCCTGGCCAGGCGCCGCCCGCAAGTGCAGGCAGTGAAGGCCACAGGGGAGGGGAGGCAATGGCAGGGGCGTTTTACCTTGGGGGGGGCCACTTAACCCCCCTGAGCGCCTGCTTCCGCATGTGTAAGGTGGGGGAAATACTGTCTGCCCCATGGGGCCGCTGCGAGGGGTAAATGGAAGACGACACACATCAATGCCCAGCCGGTGGCCTGCCCTGGCCAGGACGGTCCCTGCCATCAGAGTTCCCAGCAAAACTGGGGAGACTGACGCACTGGAGCTCACGCTAATGGGGCTGCGAGGTGCAGGGCGCAGGTGATGGCTCCTCACCATGCACGCAGACCTCTGCCCTAACTCCAGGCGGGAGCAGGGGAGCCCCGGACTCCTCCCCCCTACTCTCCCACGCCTCCCCACGGTGACCCATGCACTGCCAAGGCCAAGGCTTCAGGGCCAGAGAAGCTCGGGTTCAGCGCAGCCTGCCCTCACCAGCTGTGTGACCTGCACTCCCTGAGCCTCGGTCTCCCTGTCTGCGTCAGGGGCGACGGCCCAACCTCACGGGTGTAGAACCACTCCAATGTCACGTGTACCAAATACCCAGTAAGTAGTCAGTGCCTGGGGACAGGTGGCAGATGTGCCCCCCTCCCCACCCCTGCTCACATCCAGGAACCCAGGCCTGGTGATCAGAGAGTCAGCTGACCTAGTCCCCAGGGACACTCACCTTGACGACAGGCGGTGTGGGAGGGACCACAGGGATGATGGGCGTCGAGGGAGGAGGTGGGGCGGCGGCCGGGGGAACAGGGACCGATGTGATGTTTGCAGTAATGGTTGGCACAGGGGTGGCAGCAATGACAGGCGTCTGGGAGACAGTGGGGGGGACGCTCTGGAAGGGGGTTGCTGGGGAGACAGAGGACACGGCCACCACTTGCTGCGTACCTTGAAGACAAAGGAAGGACTCTGAACACGCCAGGCTCTACCTGCCAGCTAGCTTCCAGACGCTTCCTGGACCATCCTCAGCCAGAGCACACCAGTGCTGGGGAGACCCTCCTTCTGAGACTCCTGGCCCTGCCCCTCGGCTGCCTTCACGGAACCGGCCTCCACAGGCACTCACCCAACAAACGAAAGGCACTCCCTCTGGCCAGAGACCAGCCTGGGAGGAAGAGCCAGGCCTGGGCCTGAGAAACTGGGGGTCAAGTCAGACTCCACCAATAACCAGCTGAGTTACCAGGGCAGAGCTACTGAGCCACCCACAGTCCCATCTGCAGAGTGGGATGGCTGGCAGTGTTGGGGACCCACCCCAGCCTCTCTTGAGGGCTGGGCCACCAGCCAGCCTCTCCATCAGGGTGCACCTCTGTTCTGTTCCCGTTCCTGGCCCAGGTAAGACCCCCCGCCCCCCGCCCCAGGGCTCCTAATGCTAATCCTGATCCCCACTGCCCTCCTGACAGGGGACTTGGCCCCTCTCCTGTCACGGAGCAGACAACACCTGCTAAAGAGGCAGTGTCCTAGGGGGACAAAGGGATCTCCTGTGCAGACTTTTGGGAGAGGCGGCCTGAGCACAGAGACGCGGCAGGACCACAGCCTCCCCAGCAGAGCAGACTCCAAGGCAGATATAGATGGTAGCACTACCACCCAGACTGCCCCCACATCACAGAGAGGGACACTGAGCTCAGAGAGGCCAAGGGACCCGCGCAAGAAAAGCTGCTGTCACGTCCCAGGGGGGTGTCGGGACAGAATGGCAGCACCGTCCACCCCTTTACCTGCACTCTGGGTTCCTGCAGCCGGTTTCCGGCCTTTGCCCTTCGGAGCAGGGGGTAATAATTCAACTTCCTCCTGGGGCATCTGGGCCACTTTCTGCAGAAAAATTTTCTCTAAGGCTTGGGCCATTAGCACTATGTCATCTGTGGGCTGAAGACACAGGAAGAGCCAAGGTCACTTGTTGGGAAAGGGGCCACATGCATGCAAAAGACTTCACTGGTCGTGGCTCAAGAAACGTTTATGTAAAACTCTGTTAAAAGATCTGGTAGGGCGGGGGGTGGGGGAGGCAAAAGGAGAGTATCTCATTTGGCACGGCACATGCAGAAAACAGAACATTCCGTCCAGTACAACTCAATCCACCTTCACTTTATCACGTCGCTACCACAAATGACAAAACCCCACAAAGTCAGGAGCAGGTGGGCTTTCCCTAATCTACTCTTCTTGCCGAAAACCATCGTGTAGACGGGTTCCATCGGTGCGCAGGGGCCTGGCCACTTTGGGTGGCTGCATGGGGCTGTCAGGGTGTGCACACACACGTGCTGTGGCCCTACACCCATGAGCCCGCACTGACCCCATCAGTGTCCCTACACCCGGAGCTCCTAGGTCCAAGGGCACAAAATAATTCCACACGTAAACTACCTTCCCCCCACCAGGCTGCTCCAGGCTTGGGAAGCACGTAGGTCCCCCCGAGCAAGGACTGTGGCCAGAGGGTAACACCCCTCCTCCATCGGAGAGCCACTACAGAGCCTGGGCGTCCCCCCAGGGGCCCCGTGGCCGGCACTCAGGGACTCACGGGGGCATTTTGGGGCTGCGTCCCAGGTACTTTCTTACCTTGTTATAAATGTAACAATTTGTAAACATGGTGTTGAAGTCCTGCATACATTCGCTCGCGCTCCAGTAATAATTATTTTCTAGTCTCTTCTTAATAGTCCCCATATCCATTGGGTTTTTTATGATTTTATGGTAATCCTGGGAAAGAGATTTTCAGAGGCATCATCAGTGCACTCTGCAGTGTCATGTTCGCTGTCCCCGAGAAGGGTGATGGCGCACAGAGTATCTTCTCGGGTGAGCTGGGCACCATGGTTGGACCAAAGGCAGTGTCTGGTCAGCTGAGGCCGGATGCAGGGCCTGGGGCGAGCGCCGGGCCCACTTCAAACCACCACCACGCCTCTTACCCGACAGATTCTGTCTGGATGGGCGGGGCTCAGAGATGCATAGAACTGGGCAGCCGGGGCAGGCCCAGGACCCACCGGCACTGTGGAGAGGGCACCGAGCCTCCAACTCGACTCCAACCCCAGGGCCCGCCGGTAACCCATGCCGAACTGGGCCCAGGGCTTCCCCTGGAAACGCTCAGAGTTTCTCTCGGTCCAAATAAGGAACCCATGAAATGATGGGGCCAGCACCCCTGGAGAGTGGGCCACGACCTGCACTGAACGTCTGATGGCGAGGGGCGGAGGCACGGTTCTACAGGAGGGACACAGGAACAGCAAGGGGACAGCTGCTCCCTTCCCTGCCTGTAAGACTCGGGTTCTCCCCGGCTCCCTGCACACTCTCATGCCCCAGGAACCCCTCTGCTCCTCAGTCACCATAGGCCTTGGGCTGGGCCTGGCTTACCGGCACCACAGCTGCCTGGGCCCAGGCACAGTTCTTCCAGAGAGTGGGGTGGGGAGCGGCCAGAGGGGCAGGGATGCCAGTGTGGAGGGTAGGGGTACTCACGGGCAGGTTCAGCTTGATTGCATCCACGGGCTGGTAGAAGGGCCAGGCGAACTGGTGTTTCCAGAGCGTCTTTACCACCACGTTCTGCATGTACTGCAGCTGGTTGGTCTTGCGGCCAGGCTTGGCAGGGTTGGAGACCTCCGGCGGGGGCGGGTTCACCGGGCCCGGGGCCGCCGGGATCCCCGCGGGCGCGACCGTCGTCGTGGTGGACATCCTCCGCGGCTCGCTCACTGGCCGTCACAGCAGCGGCTCAGGGAGGCCCTCGCTTCCACTATGCTCCTTTTGGAGGCCTGACATCCCATTTCTGGGCCCAACCAGGCAGCACCTACAGGGCAGGAGGCACAGCATAGACAGGCCGGTCACCAGGGCCCCACCTCGGGGACTCCCGAGCACACCTGAGCAGTCACAGTGAGGCCAGGTCACGGTGCCCACGCCACTCACCCTGCTCAGACCGGCCCTCACCTGCTACCTGCTCTGACTACTGCTGTCAGGCGGGGGCAGGGATGTGGCGTGAACACAGGCTGCCTGGGTGGGCGGGACAAGGCAAGGGTGGGAAGGTGGCCGTCCAGGCACACAGCCAGCAGCAGGAGGCGGGGGCCCAGGAGGCGGCCTCTCCTGGCTCACTGCCCACCAACTGCCCGCCTACTGGGGGCTGACTCGGACTGTTCTTGAGCGTGGCAATTCTGGAGGAATGATTCACACATAGAGAGGGCTCCAGCATCAACCCCACAGAGCCGAGCCAGGCAGGCAGAGCATTCGCAGAATCGCGCGTGGCGTGTGGAGCTTGGCCTCTTTGGGGCAAGGTTCTGATGTAACCATGAGAACCAGCGCTGGTTTGTGATGGCAGGTCAGGGTGTGACACGCCCGGCCCCAGGCCAACCACGGGGGCAGGAGAGGGCACATCTCACCCAGCACTCTCTGTAAACACAGGGCTGCTGCCGACCTCCCCAGCTTTCGGGAATGCTCACCAAGCTCATGGCTGGGAAGGAAGACGACCAGCGACGCCCTGGAACCAACAGGCCAGTCCCACCGTGGGCAGCCTTACTGAAGTTTCCTGGCTGGAAGCTGCTGGCCCACTTTTACTTGTAGGGCCCAGAGCAGATCAGAGGCCGCACGTGGATAGGAGTACCGGGCCCCATCTGTGTTCCCTGTCACACTTCCGGTTTTTATGTGTCCTTGTTACAATATTCAGGCAGTTCGGGGTGGAGTGGCAGCCCTATGGTATGAGGGGCCAGACGGGACGGGGGGAGGACAGAGCAGCACAGGTTGGCCCCTGGAATCAGCCACCCTACCCACAACTTGCAAAAGTGGATCCTTAAAACTTTGAGTCTCGTGAGGTGGTTAACATCCTGTTGGTAGCTTGCCACCTGCCACGTGGGCGTGTTTACAGCAGAGTAATTGGCACTTGCTACAAACCACTCCAACCAGAGCAAAAAGGGCTCAAGCGGACAGCAGGTGCATGTTGCCCAAGACCTGCTCTGCATTCAAGGGACACCCCGGAACCCCAATGAGGTGCCACGCCCACCACCCTGGGGAACCCACAGCCGCTCCCCTCTTTCACACCCTCCTGGGGAGAGCTTGCACCTCTCTCCTGCTTCTCTATCTTGCCAAGCCAGGGGAGTGGCACAGTCAGCACGGTGCCCATGGCCCCAAACAGCTGCTCAGCAGGGGGTGGGGATGGGTGGCTGAGCCAGCCTGTGCTAATGGCAATAAGGGTAGGTCTTCACCACCAGAAAGACTGGGAGCCTGGAGCAAACCTGAGTCGTCCCTCATGCCCCACTGGCCATCTCCCCCCACCCCCAGCAGGCCAGCAAGTGCAAACTTGGCCCAAACACCACCTCCAACTGCGGGAGCTCCTTCGGTGCACTGAGGAGGTTCCACCACCTGCTCCCTAGGTATTTGGCAGGTGGGTGGGTGCCCAGCACCTAGCACTGCTGCTGCTTCTGCAGGTACACAGCACAGAAAGCCACAGAAGTTAGGACACAGCCAGGGCCTAAAAAATGATCTGGAAGAACATGGGCCAAGGTGCAGCTGGCCTCGTCCAGGCAGGAGGGCACGCAGGCATGCTCACTACAGGGCCATCCTCAGGCTGCCACCCGGACTTGAGGCCTGCCTCAAGGCCTACCCCCCTCTTCCAGCTCTGAACGCCGCTCCAAACATGTGGCTGAGTGGGAAGCTGGCTCTGGCCACAAACACGGGATCCCGTCCCCTAACCCCGTCTTGAGGTAAGAGCCCAGGGGCAGCACAGCGGCTGCCGTGAGCCTGACTTGCAGGACTCTGCCACATGCCAGCCCAACCCAGCCCCCTGCCCTGCCCCCGGCACTGCCAGGGGTCCCAGACCACACTGCTGAAGCTCTGAGCAGAGTGCCTGGTGCTGCCACATGCTCCCTGAGGACCAGCAGTCACTACAGGCCATAGGAGTTCTTCCGTGGTGGCCCACCATCAGCCCCGGGAGAGTCTGTGTGGTTCAGAGGGGACGTGCAGAAAGAGCCCAGCAGCATCCAACATATAGTACCCACAGTCTGCGGGGACCCTGCACAGGGATAAGCCCTCCCTCTTTCTGCAAACTGCTGAAACAGACCCCTCCAACACAATGGCCACAAGGCTTGTGGTGTCCCATCAGAGTGGCAGTGTCCAGCCCTCTGCTTCTCTCAGCTCTCACAGCTCCCAGCAGCCCAGGCCCCAGCTCAACAGGGGGGGACATGGTGGCAGCCAGAGTAACAGGTTGGTAGGCCCCCTTACAAGCCCCGCGATTGCAGGTGCCAGGATCCACCTCTCAGGAGATCAGCAAGGGGAGAGTCAGAGAGCTTACGTCAGACGCCTCCAGAACCTGACCCCTGGGAGCCGCCTCGGCAAGGGAAGAGGACTCAGAGAAGCCCTCCAAACATAAAGTTGCACAGGACACCCAGCACAACTCCTCTGGGGCAACAGGCAATAAGTGGCCGCCTCCCTGCAGACGGAGCCCAGGCCTGGGGATCAGTCACCTCTGCTCAAAGCCCGGCAGGATGGGCTGAGTCTAGGGTGAGCAGAGCCATGGTGAAAGCCTGGCCTTGCCTTTCCCCTGGACGCTTCTCCAGGCCCGACGGTGACATCACAGACACTGACAAGCACAGAGGGCTGTCCCTCAGCCTCCCTCATCTGGGAGGGATAAGGGCTGCATTCTGAGACTGGGAAGCAAATGCTGCTTCCAGAGAAGTGAAAATGTAAGATCACCAGCACACCCTCTCACAGGGGCAGCTACAAACAAAGTAAGGGACAAAGTGCAAAACAACATGGGGTTCAAAAGAGAGGTACAGCTGCCACGCAGTCATGTGACCCCAGCTCTCTGGGGGCCCACCTGTGCCCAACACTCAGAGCACCCCATGCCCCTTCGGTGCACTCAGGAAGTTCCTCTCAGCAATGTGTCCAACATCCACCCCACGCCTCGCCCTGTGTGACTGCCCCACTACCCTCGGGCCCAGGCCTCACTGCTGCCCTCCTGGGGTGAGGCCGGTGGGAGCAGACGGTGGAGAAAACACCAAGTATGTTGAGTGGTCAGCCACGGCCACAAGCCCTTTACCTCTGCGGATGCTCAGACTCATGTGGCCTGAGGCCAGAGTGACAAAGCTGAGGCTCTTCCACCCGCGGGGATTTCCTGAGGCTGTCCACATGGGCATTTGGGGACATAAGCCACCAGGGGTGGGGGGAGAGGACCAGGCAGCTAAAGAACGAGATGGCCCTCCTGTTGCCACACCAACACCAAGACCTCTGGCAAGCAGGGCCATGTGGAGGGCGGCAAGGAGCACCCATTGGGTCTGCCACACCAGGGTTCAAAACTCGGCTCCCTCACCAGCTGACCTGTGGCACTGCTGTCACCTACCGAGTGCTCCCAACTCCATGGTCAGACACAGGTGCGTGGCTTCCCACCCACGAGGATGAAGGGACCAGGGGCATCCTGGCCAATGGCTAGGGAGCTGGGGAACACTGGCATGTTGGGCTGGAAGGAGGTATCCTGGTTCCCAAATCACCCGGAGAGGGGACTCAGCACAGGGTCAGAAACCAGAGCCCGAGGGTCTCTGCATACCCATTACCAGGCACTGTGAGGACACAATGAGGTCACACGTGGGACCGAGAACTGAAACGTGTCTACCTAAGATAACCACCACACTCCACCTCGCCTCCTTGTCCCAGCAGAGCAGGAGCAGCCTCTCGATGCCCCAACTCCACGATGACGGCAGCCAGGCTCGGAGAAGCAGCACGTCTGTCAACGAAGCAGAAAGGCTCTTGCTGCAGACTGCTCTTCCCTGAGGCCTGTGCCTCCAGGTGGGCACTGGCCCCTCCTTCTCTGACCCCCCAGGCTTGGCCTCTATGCAGGAGCATGGGGCCCCCAGCCCCGCCCCTTGGCCATACCAGGCTGGGGAGAAACGCCCAGGCAGTAAACTGCCATGGGGGCCGGCGGGGCCTGCTTCTGCGTCTGCTGCCAGGGACCTCGGGCACCTTCTCCTCAAGGGAGTCCCTAGTGGGATACGCCAGGGCCCCCAAATCAGGAGGGAAACAAAGGCAAATTGGGGCCACAGAAGGGTCTGGCCTCACCTCCTGGCCCAATCTATTGTGGCTGGGTGGGGGATGCCAAGATGGGGGTCATGGAGGGAGTAAAGATAAAAGCCCAGCTGGGACCCCATTCCCTGGGTCCCCATCAGCCTATGGCAACACGTACTGGGTACTGGTTGCAAAAGAGAAAACTGAAGCCCAGGGTGCTCAGAGCTCTCACACCAGTGCACAGCCTCTTGGGCAACCAAGCTCCCCTGGACACCCCCACTGCGGCAGGCAACCTGTGAGTCCCAGGGACCCCTGACTTCCCTTCAGCTCCAGCACACACCCCATGCCCTGGCCAGAGTCTGATCCTGATCATTGCCCCCTCCTCCCGGGAGCCAGGCATGCCCGGATCGAGTCTGCTGGATTTCCGAACCCAGTGAATCCACCGTTCCAGGTTGGTGGGGGGGCGGGGGCAGGATCTCTGACACACACATGCCCACCCCCAGGGCCTGGGATGACATCCCAAATCAAACACAATATGCTGCAAGGAAACATGAATTTTCATCCTAAGGATAAATAAGGATCTGTTGCAGGGTCAGGTTTTGCTGCACAAGAATTAGGGAAAAAAGCTCTGTCCCCAGAGTTTCTGGTGACTGAAGTGGAGCCAAGGATGGCGGCCCTGTGACAAGGAAGGCTGCCTGTCACTATCAGCTTCTACGCCAGCCTGGAACTTTACGATGTCACATGGAGGGGGACAGGCCTGTACTTCTCCATCTCATGGTCCAGGCAATCACAGGTAGGTGAGAGAGC